AATAAAATTTTAAAGAAAATAACCAAAAAACTTTTACATATTAACATCAAAAATTAATTTTAGCTTGTAACAAAATGTCTTTTATTTTTTTCTTTAAAGATGAGTGTTTTCAAATAAACCCTATTGTGTAAGCTTTAATTGTATTATATTTTTAAGTATGATAGTTTCATTCTCTCTTTTTTTAAGAGAATAATCTAATCTCAACATATACCTTTTCCTAAATATTGGATAATGTGTGTGTGTGTGTGTGTATGATTATGTGATGTTACTGTAAAAAAAGTTTGGTTGTTGGAGGCATTAGTATGAGTGGTGCTTAGCCATATGGTGTGGATTACGGAAAGGTACCAATTGGGACTGTACTTGTTTGGATTTTAGCAGTTAACAGGAAAATGATGAGATTTTGAGATTTTAACTTTTCACATGTACTTCACTTTCTGCTGTATTTGCCCTAGCTAAAAGGTCGTTCTGATAAATGCTACATTATTATTTATCAGAAAAAGGAAATCTATACTCAGATCTGTAAAGTAAATCTGCATCACACAACACACCATCTACATTCTGTGGTTACTATAGTTGCACGACATAAACCCAAACCAGAGGTATATAACATCGTTCTTTCAATTAAATTATTGAAATTCATATAGTATATATTCATAAAAGAAATGTTATACTTTTTGCAACATGTTACATTTTGGTTAGGGAACTGTATTTGTATGGCTAGTTTATTTCATAATAAAGAGTATGAAGTAAGATAGTTGGTGTAATTAAAAGAAGAATATAAAAATGAAATATAAAAAGTAGTATACATTTAACTTTATGCATACGTATTCTTAATTTTACAAATATGGAAAATGATTTGAATGAGTGTATGAATTTCATTTTCCAAAACTTTTCTACAATCAAATTGTTTTTGTAATTATTTATTTATTTATCCTTTGAATATAAAATATTAAAAGTGACATCATTTTCAACTACCTAAGAGTTCAGCATCATTGAATGATTGACTCTAGAAGGATCAACCTAGACAACAAAAAATGTTGAATTCATTTTCATTTTTGGTTTGTTTATTATACATTTTTCAAAAAATAAGTACTAAATTTTAAAAAAAAAATTGTTCCTAGATTACCCTTTATTAAAACATGATATTAAACATGAAATTTTAAAGATGATATCAATAAGATAAAATAATTGGAACCTTTTTCTCAACATTAAATCATGAGTCAGCAGAAACCAGGTGTTTTTTGGCATATTATTCTTCAATTAGAACTGGAATCATAGTTTTGAAAACATTAAAGTATGAAAATGCATGATGGTAGTTAGCATTAACATGCGATGATCGAAACTTACGAATATCATCGTCGCTGAAGGGTTTGGAGTCAGCGATTTCTTCAGGAGGCATGGTGAAGCCAGTGAAGGAGAAAGAGAGTCCCAAGCTTGCACTTGAGGCTCTGCTAAGCGCTGCGCCACTGCTCAAATCATCAAAATCCAACTTCATTTGGCTTATTTGAGCACTTCTAGACTTTCTTATGTGAGTGTTCTTCCCTCCGCCGCCGCGTCCCGGTGACGCGCCGGTCAGCCGCCGACTCGACTTCCTCGACAGGGTGCCACCCCCTTCCGCCACCCCGTTGGCAGAGTGGTCGCTCGACGGCGGCGACTTCATCGCCGCCACCATTGATTCTACTAACTGATCAGATTTTGTTCTCACTAGTGATGTGCTGTTTGCTTTCTCCATGTTCTCAGTCACCACTGAAAAAATGGTAACAGAATTGTGTTTTTCAACAGACAATATTAAGAAATTTGTTTGGTATATAATCTTTGTCTCGTGTTTTAACCGCTGAACGGTTTTCAGATCTCATAAACAACAAAGTTTTACACAGATTGCCCTAACACAAGATTTTCAATATTGCTTCCTACAAATTATATCTTCTTTCTCTGTATTATAAAGCAGTTTAGTATTCAATTATTGGTTCAAAAACAGCTTAATTAAACAAATAAAACCCATAGATTTCTCTGGTAGCAAAGCAAATACAGTTTATCTATATATATATATATATAAAGTAGTACATGAGTTTATAATATGGTAGCTCATGAAAACCAATATATATATGAATATATGTTAACAGTGGAGGCATATATAGTATATTTATAACAGAAATATTGGTATGTTTTTTTTCTCTCTAAGCTGAAAATTTTGGAGGGGAATTGGGTAATAATAGTAAAGTAGTCCAAGAGTAATAATTGAAGACAAAAGAACATGTTAATTAAAGTATATTATATAGTACAGGAATAGGTATGATTTTATTGTTGTTGTTGTTTGAGAAGTGAATAGGGGAAGAAAGAAGAAAATATACCTGGATGGAGAATAAAGAGTTGTTTTTAGTGGTGATGATGATCTCAAAATGGAAAAGGAGACTAAAACTCTACTCAGAAACAACAGCTATCAATGAATTAACGCATCCAATCATGCAGAGGACAGAGGACTCACACTCTTATAAAGGGCAATTAAGACCCTAATCGTGAAGTTACCAAACCACCCTTTCCCTTCACAGCAAATATCATTCTGCTTTCCATCTTTTTAGATAAGAACTAGACCTCAAGATATGATTGCACGTTATGGACCTTCCATGCACGCTAGGTAAGGCCATGATTTCCCAACACGCGTCCAACATGTAATGTTAATGCAACCCTTTTATTTTTTTATTATTATTATTCATGCAATTCCTCAGATTTTGGAGGCTTGTGTCAACTAGTTGGATGGAGGTTGAAATGGTGTCAAAGGTCAGGGTTTTGGAATTTAATGAAGCTGTTTAGCCATATATGTTCTTATGAAAGGAGTGAGGGTGGCAACTCATGGCTCATGTGCCGGCTAATTAAGTGCTTCTAATGACGACAAAACTCTCATTATATATAATAGCATAATCATGTAATCATGTATACTCATTTTGTAGGTTTCTGTCTAGAATTCATTTTACAGATATTATCTTAGTTTATACTAAGTAAGAGTCACTTTTTATACAAGTTCACTGATACTGTTAATGTGTTTAGTAATACAAACTCTTTCAACATCTGATGCAGTCACATTCATCGATATGACAGTGGATCCATAAAGTTAAAATGAAATATGAATGTCTTTTATTGCTATAAAAAGTGAAATAGAACAGTATGGAGATTCAATATATTACTTAGTTATAATGAGTTTTATAACAGTAACAGTTATAGTGATAGCTAAGAATTGCAGTTGAGGATGGAAATTTAAATTGAAAGCATGATGTTTAGCAGAAAAGTGGTGTTTGATGGGTTAGAGAGGGACCTGTAGCTAACTATTTGAGATCTTGCTTTCATGAGAGTTACCTGCTGAAGAGGGAAGTGTAGGGTTTTTGGAGTTTTGTATTGTGGAAAGATATGATTGTGTAGTACCTTTTCATTCTGAATTCAAGCATGTTGATGCAGAATATGTACATATATATTTAAATACTACTTTTGTCTTTTTCCCATTGTGTAAATATATAAAACTTTCAACCTCCAAACATTTAATTTCTATTTTGCCTTTTATTAAAATTCATGTTTGTAAGACTATGTCTCTAATTAATGTAGGAATTGTAAACAAGTAATGATGACACAGATAGTTTATAAAAATAAAACAAATATATTCATTGCAATAAATTAAATTAATAATTTTTCAATCCTAATAAATTAAGTAGTTGATTTTTTTAAATACAACAAAATATTTACTTATGTTCTCTATCTTTTCATAATTCTAGTTATAAGCATATATTATAGTATGCATGAATTATTCTTCTTTATTTATCTTAATTCCTATCATAATCTCATTTCCCATCACATAATTTAATTTATGTAATAGATATTTTTTCTTTTTTTTTTCTAACTAGTGCACACACTTATTAACTATATATATGTTCTCTATCTTTTTAGAATTCTACTTATAAGCATATATTAGTATACATGAATTATTCTTCTTTATTTATCTTAGTTCCTATCATAATCTCATTTCTCATTACATAATTTAATTTATGTAATAGATTTTTTTTTTCTTATTTTTTCTGACTAGTGCACACACTTATATATTGTATATATATATATATATATATATATATATATATATATATATATTCTACACACGTCTATACGCATAAAGAAAACTATTAAGTGCATTTTATTTTTGTGTTTTACAAATACCAAAAGTTATAAACACTCAAATATCAGAAAAATATTAATTTTCACATAATTCTTGTTCACCTGTTTTTTACCTTCTTTATGATACGTCTCATTGATAGAAAGAATACAACAAAACAAACGAAAACCCTAATTTGTTTTTAGTGACAGAAAAAGTAAGTGTATTAAGGACAAATTATTATCATTAATGCTGCAAGTGTTCTTCATAGATCAATTTCACTTGTACTGTGTTTTATGAAGTTTCTACGAAGCTTCCTTCAAATATATTGGTGCCATGTACTTTGTCAAAAATTAAATTTTCATTTTTATTACACTCTTGTACCTTCAACAAATTTCATTGTCGTCCTTGTACCTTCAAGAATTGCAGTACAAATCTCCACGGGTTACCGCAAAAAACTTTCCGATATTGAAATTTGAGGAAAAAAATAAAGAAAAATTTTGATGAAAAAAAATTATAAAAGGACAATATATTTATGTATAGACATAGACTTACAATATGCCAAATTTTCTCGACGTTTATAAATTGTTTTCTTATGCTGTATATTCAATTTGTAAATACACGGTTGCCGTTGAATAAAATAATATATTAATTATATAGTACGGTAGCTTGAAAAGCACACAATACAAAAATATGTTGAAAGTCTATAAATAATTACAAATATCACTGACGTTTTTGTGTTAAGTTTATAAGTTAATTTCTTAAATTTACACTAGTACAATAAAGAGAAAAGGCACCGATTATTTATGTTTATAAGCATCGGTTCTACAACCGAGACATATGTGGACGAGGTAAAAAGGTTAAGTTTTATGCCTCGGTTATAGACCGAGATAAAACGAGACAGGAATATGCCTCGGTTCTTAGACAACCGAGGCAGTAGTGCATTTTTTTTTTTTCAGACTTTAGACTCTGGTTCTTCATTCATTCTGTCATGCCAAACAAACCCAAGATTTCCCAATTTTAGCTCAAGAATCTAAAACAAACAAGAAATCCATAACAGGAATCAAATAAGACAAAATATTACAACAACTGGAATCAAACAAGACACAATATTACAACAACATGAATCAAACAAGATACAATATTACAACAGGGTTTCTCTGTTCTTCCTCTTCGCACATGGTGAAACACAAACCAGGGTTTCTCTGTTCTTCCCCCAACGGCGTGGTCAGAGGCCATAGTTCAGCTTCTTCGCGCCACCTAAACCGTCGACAGAAGCATCTCTGACCACCACCATCTCCCCCACGAAGCTTGCCAGCATCCACCATCAACCACTTCAAGAGCCACCTCCAAGTCTCCGACCGCCACTGTGTTCATATCCTCCGTCGTCCCCACCCTCCTCGCCACTGTCACTGACTTCCTCTGCTCCCCCTCCTTCCACGAATCCTCCATCCTTGGGTGGTTCTCCACTCGTCACAGATCTGCCCTCCGCCCCTTCATATGCGCAGATCTGCCCTCCGCCCCTCCATGCGCCCAGATCTGCCCTCCGCCCCTCCAAGCGCGCAGATATGCCCTCCGTCACCTCCCTCCGTCACCTCCCTCCGTCACCGCTGTGTCCTCGTCACCGTTGTGTTCTTGTCGCCGCGTCCTCGCTGCCGCTACATCCTCGTCGTCGTTGCATCCTGGTGGTCGCGTCCTCGCCGCGTCCACCGTCGTTGCTGCCTCGCCGCGTCCACCGTCGTTGTGCCTCGCCGCATCCACTGTCGTCGCACATCGTAGGAGAAGAGGAGGTCGTCGTACGTAGGAGAAGAGGATGAGAAGAGGAGTGGTGTTAGGTTTTTGGGAAAAGATTTTGCTACCAGACTAGGGTTTTCTCGATTTAAGTTGTACAGTCGAAGCCCAATATGCCTCGGTCCATTTGTCAACCGAGGTCGTTTCTTTGCTACGTGAGGTTATGCTTCGGTTCACTCTGGCAATCGAACCAGTATTTTCTTTAGACACTGGTTGCTTAACAACCAAGGCATATAATGCTTTTAAAATTACCAAACTGCCACCGCGATTTGATATGCTTCGGTTCCATAAAAATCGAGTCATAATGTACGAGTTAAAAACGTCATTTTTTACTAGTGTTAATGTGTATGAAAAGTTATGTGAGGTAAATCCTACTTAAAAATGGATTGATAATTGTTTGGGTTTGTAGGATCGAGAATTATACTTTCACACTTTAAGTCATTTTATTACTTCATTCAGTTTATTTCTCTTCTTTTAAGATTTTATTGAGTCTTCTTTAGTAAAGTTTGAATTTGAGTGAGTGTGTATCTATCAAAGGCAGGTCAAGTCAATTTTCAGTTATATTGATTGGTTATCACAATTAAGTCTAATGTCCAATAAATGCAATCACATACCTTCTTACTTTACTTCTGTATTTATAGGTTTTGAAATGGACTTTTGTTTAGAACTAGTCTAATGTCTTATAAACGTGTTTTACCTTACTAATTATCTTGAGGTATTCTTAACATGCACACTAACACTGCTAGTGACTGGATTTTGAAGGGTTGACAAATCCCTCGCTTTGGGATTATGTTGACTGTTTGGTACGGTACAATAATGAATTTTATTATTCATTTGAATGTGTATTATAATTTATAATATATTATTTTTAGAGGTTTGAATTTATTGGTATTTTTTTAGTGTGTTTCATCTCTACATAAGGGTTAGGACATCTTAAGTACATTTACAACATAAATATTGAAACATAATGATTAATATGTGAATGATAAAGACAACAAATTTATCATATTGTGAGGCAGCTTTGATTCTGTCAACTTCTAGTAGAAGGATAAGGTTGGTAATAAAAAATATTGAGAAAGAAAATGAAGAAAAGACGATGGCTATAGAAGTCATTTGAGTATAGAAAAAAGGATAAAAGAGGAATTTGATAAGTTTGTGGTTAGGAAGAGTGATGAGTGGAAAATAGGTGTGGAGAAGAACAAGGGTGGCCCAAAAAGAACTTGTTTGTCATTGTTCGATCAACGACAAATCGCCACGTAATACCCTAATTCTCCATTTCAACCCTTACACTTGTTCCAATCCAATCATCTGTACTTTCTCACTCTTATATCTTCTTTCATTTAATATAATCTTTAAGTTGAATAATCAAACACTAATATTCCTTTTTCCAAAGCTAAATACATATTATTTTAGTATATAGTTAGGTCTCAGTGTAAGTTGAAATTTTATATAGGATAAAAATTATTAAAAAAAATAAAAAATATTTATCTGTTAATTTATTATCTTAAAGATTTTATATTAAAGATGATATTTTTAATGAATTTTTCTAAAAATTTTCAATATTGAATTTTTTTCATATCTCGGTCGAAAAAGTAAAATCAAAATCATTAGTTCATTTTAGTAACTAATTTAAATAATACGCTATTTGATGAATAAATAGGTTAAAAACATTTACACAAACGTATTTATTTGTTATATATATATATATATATATGAGGAACATACTTTCACACTTCAAATTATACCATAAGTTAACATTTATTGTTATGTCTTTTTTTCTCTCTCTTTTCTTTATAATTATAAAATAATATTTGACATTCAAAAGACAACTCATTTTTAAGAACATTATAGTCATCAGAAATTTTTTTTAACTGTAAAGAAAAGAAAGAAAGGTGGCACGATAATGAATAGTAATTAGTTGTATAATTTTTTTACAGTGTCATAATATTATTTGTTTTGTAGAGAAAATACACAATTATAAAAATAATGAATATTAATTAATTGTATAATTTTATTGGAGTTAAGATATAAGGTAAAAAATGTAACCACAATAATTAAGTGTGATAGTTTTTTTTTTTTTTTTGCTTTTTTTTCATCAAATGAGAATCTGTACCTATAAACATTAAACTATGATTTCAAGCTAAGTTGAATGTCTAATCAAATAATGATAGTGTATTATTTTAATGTGAAAAAAGGGAAAATTAAGAATCACAAGTTATTGGAGTTAATAATGCACTATGAGGATAAGGCATGCATACACATTAATTATCATAATAAATTATTAAGAATAGTGTTTGAAATTTCCGTGGTACCAAGGCAGAAGTACAATTATTTATTTCTAGAAGTTCTTCAGGTGTGTCCTATAGTTGTATGAATACAATATTAACCAGCTTCATTTTCCACTTGTAATTAATATGAATTAATTAGAAATAATCACTAAAATTAAATTATAGTTTAGTAGGTCTAATAATACAAATCCCAAATCCTAGTCCAATTCTTAGAGATAATTCTCATTACTCTCAATTCAACTATTTCCACATCGTCATTAAATAAAAGATTCCAACTTAAATGTCAAAAGTTAAAATTCATACTATTCCATTAGCAAATTATTGTTTTATAGTTTAAAAATGTACAAGTAGATAAATTTAATAATGAAAACTTTAGATAGTTTCTACAAAGTTTCAAACTTAAATCTTATTGTCTATATTGTATGTAAAATAATAAATCTTTAAATCATGTAGGTTATGATAAATTAAAGATGTTTTTTATAAGTTTGTTTGGTCAATGTTACAACCATCTGTGTGGTATTGAATTTTTTCTAAACAAATAATTAGTAACTCATAATAAATAGTAAACAAATTGTTTCATGGGAAGCAAATTTGAAAAATCTAGAGGAAGAACATGAGTTATAATCGATGTCTTATTCAATATTCATTTCAAATGAATTTAAAATAGTAACTACATAAATTCCATCATTTTTCATTCTTATATACCAAAAATGGGAATGATAATATTTCCTATTTTTCAATCTCTTTTCAATTTTTTTTTAATCTTTTTGTCCTCTATATACTCTAAGTTCTACTTCGGTTATTTCCGACTCTAATTATAATATACTGAAGAAAAAACCATAAAAAATATAATATAGTATAGGCATTGTTTGAAAAGTTGAAATTATTCCGAAAAGAGTATAAAAAGGGTATTAATATCAGTTATCTGAAATCTTATAAATGACAAGAGTAGTGGTTTAGAGAAAATAATAATAATAATAATAATAATAATAATAATAATAATAATAATAATAATAATAATAATAATAATAATAATAATAATAATAATAATAATAATAATAATAAATATATATATATATATATAAACAATGAAATGAAAAGTTGAAGGGGCGGTGCCCTAAATCAGAGGGAAAATAATGAAAGATGAAGATGACGTTGACTCGTAAAAAGTGTCATGGTGAGATAAAGAATTGCACACTATACACTCCATTGTTCTCCATTCATTTAAATATCAAACTATTTTTTATTTTAATATATTAGAAATTTTACATTTATTATAAATAAAATCAATTTATAATATATATTATTTTATAAATCAATTTTATAAAATTAAATTAATTTTAAAGTTTATTTCTTAACAAAACAATTCTTATTTCTTTCGTACAAATTATTTAGTCAAGTTTATTCATGATATCATCTCTAATATAATATTTTAAAATTTAAATGTAAAACTTCATTATGTTATGTGTTTAAGTTAAAGTGTTTATTTATAAATGCTGAATTTTATTTTTAGATTTAAGACTATGATCAAGGCAAAATATTAAAATTGTTTTAAGGACTTCTAAAAAACAACTAAGAAAAATAAATAAACTAATTAACTTGTCAAAATTAGGTTATACAAACTAATTTGTAAAAGTTTTAACTTGTCTAAAAATAATTATTTTAAATTGAGTACAAATGAATTTTAGTCTATCAAAAAATTATTTTATTTTATTTTATTTTTCTTAGTTTTCTCAGTAAAAGTTTTTACATGAAAATTTATTCAAATAAATGTGGGCAAAATTTGGATTTGACCAAAATTATGAATTATATGAAATAGGTGACTAAATGTCTTTATTATTTAAAAATAGAATCAAAATCGCACGAACCGAATAAAATAGAGAAATCAAAATTGTACGACATAAAACTAATAAGGCTTATTATAGTAAATATATGAAAACTTCAATTAATATTTATCATAATAAAATCAATTATATTCAAAACTGTCGATTTATTATGTTATTTAAATATATCTTTTAAGAGTTTAGCATGTGTGTATCATTATTTATTTATTTATTTTATTATTATTATTATTATTAATGGCAAAAATATGTAGTTATAAGTGTTTTAAAAAAATGTCATAAGTTTAAAGAAAATGTGTGGAGGACAACTAAAGTTGTCATTAAATAATGCAGAAGCCACCACCTTAAAATCTCTGACACATGGCACAACAATTTTCCATTTTTGCTTCCACGTGTTACCTCTTATTAATATAATTTCTTTTTAGGTTTTAGCCTACCTTTTTTTTCGCTATAGATATAAAAATGGCCTTCTAGTTAAAAAAAATATTATATTAGGTCAAATAAATTAACCTAAATTGAATCGGATTAATTTTAGTTGTATATGTTTAATTTTGACGTAAATGATTTTGAGTTATGTTTTATAGAATAATTATTGAAAAAATTAATCATATGTATAGACTATGAATATGAATACTTTATAGTTTAAATCAAATTAAAATTGAAACATTTCATTTAGATTAATTTTGCAAAACTTGCCTAGAAGTCTTAACATGAGAAAAGTATTTTCAAAAGTTGGAAATGATACGAACAACATTTGAGGAAAAAAATCAACGACTTTGACTAAATGTGGTAGTATGTAGAAATTTGTTGTAATTTTTTTTTATCAGTTGGACTTGTATTTAATACTACAATCTTTTCACAATATAAATGAAAAGGTCATAATTCTTAAAGACCGTGATAGTTTCACACTTAATCGCGACAGTGATGTCTGTCTGATTATCAAGAATATTTTTTTATTGATTAGAAAATAATTAAAAGTGAGAAGCAAAAGATGAACCTTTGACATACGTGACATACACATACGTATTAAAAAAGATATGTTTTGTGTCTGTGTTCTGCTGTGTGTTTCTTGTATTCAACTTCCATCCATAGCATTTATATGGATGATTGCAAAACTTCTTACATTATGTATTTTGATTTTGAGTTGTAACATAGTTAGGCTAACTTAATGTAATATATTTGGTGGGGGGAAAAGAAAACCGAAAACATATATACTTATACAAATTAGACCCTAAATATAAGATTGATTTGCTTTAGCTTGAGATATTATATTATATGTCTTGATACAAATTCTTACAAAAAGAGTGGTAACACATGATTAAGAAATGTTCTATTGTGTTGTGTCCATGCATAAGAAGTCACTGAATCCAATGATTTAAACAACCCATTTTTCCTCATCCATTTCAGGGATTGCAACATCTTCCCTCATCATAGATGCATAATTCTTTCCAACCGGTGCTCCAGCCTGAGCAAATAGCTCAACCACTGCTGGCAGCATACCGTAGTACCTTTTCAACTCATTTACCAAAGGTTTATTTCCTTGCTGATCTCGAATGTGATATACACACACTGGAGGTGCAAGATCATTAATTGTTGCCTTCTGCCATGCATGTTGTCCATCCCTCATCTGGTGTTTGAAAGCTTGACAATTTCGAACTCTATGACCTTTGGGCCCCACTTGTACCTCTGGACAATATCCACAAGTTTGGACATCATACTTCTCCATAAGTTTTGAAGCTCCTGTGCACATTTTTTCCCAGTCTTTCATGCCCAGAACAGCAATAGCTGCACAGAAGCAAGCACATAGTCAATACAGTTAACAAAGGATACAACTTAGTAATGTCTGGGAAAAGAAAAAAGTATTTGTTTCCAAAAACCTTGGATATCGTCAGAATGCATCACCATGGAATTTGTGTCTTTATTGAACTTTTTTTTCTTATGCCAAAATCCATGTGCTTCTATATCTGCCCCAAGAGACATTTCTTTCGGAAATCTTTTCTCAAAATCTATAATCCTACCAGCAACACAGTAAACAGGGAAGGTCCTTCTCCTGGTAGGGTACTCTGGTATGTCAAAACCTGCCTGGACACACAATTCCACAATTGCTGGAATTCGGTCGACTTCAAGCATTTCATTATGTGAAACAGCCCTCCCTATTCTATCATACAGATGAAATGATTCTACAAGTGGCAGAACATGTTCAACACCACCTTTGACCCAACTATGTTCTTTGCTTGATGGGCTTCCTCTAACATCACATGTTTTAATTTTATGTGGCGGATGACCAACATGAACTTCTCCACATAAGCTGCAAAGCATCTAACATTAAAGCAACAATAATGCACATTTAAACCAAGTGATGAATCATTTTAACATTATTCATGTTATAAATCTTGTTCACATTATGAATTCTTCTAAAACCCAGAATGCATTGAAAAATGGTATAATATTACTTAGTTGACAAGTTAAAAATACAAGTCAATTCCAAAAACACCAGAAAAAGAAAAATACTTCTGATTGGATTCTACCGTACTTGAATGGAAGTTTTGTAGGAAAAAATGCTAAATGCTTAAACAACCACAAAGAAAAATACCAGGGTTACAGCACTACCTGCATACATAAATAGCAGTATAGTTGACTAGTCTTGAAACACAGGATAATAGTTCACATCTGGCAGCAAAAACTTCATGAGCAACAGGAATCAGATTCTTAACCAGCATGCCATTTTCAGGAGGTTGTAATATAGTCTCATGCACCTTTTGTCTCTCCTTTTTCTTTAGTTTAGCTTCTCGCTTAAGCTCGTTAAAACTTGTCACTAGCGGTTTCCGCTCAAACTTGTTGAGCTTTTTTGGCATCTCACTGCAAGTCGACAGAGTGGAGTACCAAAGACAAAAATTTCCATGTATACCTCTGAGTTTTGAAAAACGAACTAGTTTAACTCTCTCGAGGAGATCACCAAGAGTTTGAACATGTCTTGGCAGCATCACTGCTCATTAGAAGAGGATACCTGCTAGGTATTCATGGACAAATTTATATATACTGTATGCAAACTGAAAATTTGTGGTAATTATTTATTTTATGTTTTTATAAGTAAAATCCAATTTGTTGAAAAAACATGCATTATGATTTAATGTCTTCATGTTGGCTTTCCAACAAAACAGAAGATTGTTAAATCCAAACCTTACGGCTGAAGTTACACATGGAACAGAATCATGACTGCAGCTAGGAAAAAAACACCCACACAAATATGAGCTTCAGCAGTTAACTTCATACATATAACCTACTTAGATCATGAAAATTGTAAACTCAATCAACAAGCAATTATTATTCACATGCTTTGATCGAAACCATTTAATCATGCAGCTTTTGGGGCAACCAACATTCACTTATTTCTAGGTCACGATTTATGCAAAAACGCACCTAGGTAACAATTGTGTGGTTCACTAGTTCACTCTTGCAAGTTTCTGTCGTTTTGGTGTTGATGTTGCTTTCTCCAATTTCACGGACATTGATGCCCTGTGAGCCCAATCAAAGTACAAATGGTGGGAGGAAAAGAAAGGAGAAAGCGTGAGTGACTATGGAAGGCAACGCGGCGGAAGGAGCGATGTCTGTCGCGAATGGTGAGCATCGCGCCACCAGCGAGCTTGAGAAGTGGGATCAGTACTGTTCGCGTGCGACTGGCATCTTGACTGTGGCGGAAGACCGACGTTGGACTCGTCGCTGTCGCGGCGGCGACCTCCAGGTTGCACTGTGGTGTTCTCGGTGAAGGGTGAAGGAGAAGATGGAGCCGCTGGCAGAAACGACGGTGGCTCAAGTTTCGAGGGCTGTGATGGCTCCGGCGTTGCCGGAGAACTTGGCTGGTCAGGGAGGTGCAGCCGTTAGTGGATGTTGTGTCCTTGGACCTGTGTAGGCGAAGGAGGAGACACGTTGAAAAGATGAAGTTAGGGTTTGGGCTAGCCCAACCCATTTATGTTGCTCCTTGCACCACCTCTATATTTATTTTACTTCATGCACTTCCATAATTGTTAACTCCACGTCCCTTATGTATTTTATTCTGTTGTATAGTTAAAGCATGCTTTGACTACAATATCTGTTTTAATATTTCCTGATTTAAAAGAACCTTTCACATTTGAAACTGATCAGATAATGGTATTTTATCATTTTATGATTTTTAATTATTTTCTCATATATTAAAATTAAATTTAGAAAAAACATATTTTAGTTTTATGTCTTAAAATAATATTATTTAAAAAATAATATAGAATTATTAATAATAAAAGTATTTACTCATGTAATAGTTTTATCTTAAAAATAATTATCAATGAAAAGATATATTTGTTATTATTACTAAATTATTATATAGATTTATGGTTGTGTAAAAATTAAACTAATATTATTTAATAAAAAAATCTATTTATCATTAGTATATGTAAACATTAATTACAATAAAAGTTATTAAGCAAATATAACAATACATAATAAATGAGTTTGCCTATATATTAATTAAATTATTATAATAAAAATATTAAATAAGGTATTTCATATATTTATTAGACAACTTTAAGCCTATATTGATTAAACGAGTATAAGAAAAATATTGAATGACTTTATCGATGTATGGATTATACAAGTTTAACAATATACATATGAATATGTTCATACAATTACTAAACAAGTGTAGAAAAAAATATTAGATGAATTACTCCACACATTGATTATAGGAGTCTAGAAATACCCATTACACGAGTCTGTTCATATTACACTAGTACAGTAAAAAGAAACGACATCAGTTATTTTTGTCTATACGCAAGAGTTGACGAATCGAGGTATATACAAGCGAGACAAAAATGGTAGGCTTTTTGTCTCGGTTCTAAACCGAGACAAAAAAAAAGGGTATGCTTTCGCCTCAATTCAAATGCAACTAAGACGGTTAAAGCTATTTAATATAATATTTTTTTAAAAAAAAAATTACCTACGAGGTCTATTGCCTTGGTTCCTTTGAACCGAGGCAGTATGAGGTATTTTTTTTTCGTCAAAATTTATTTTTTATTTCTCTTTAAGTAATTTGGATAATAAAACTTTCATTTCCCTAAGATATTTGTCATCTTTTGCTTGTAGAACACCATTTATTAGGTTCAAGAAGATGTTTTAGCTGTAATAGATGTATCCGATGATACTTTTTGAAGAACTTCAGTTGTAGAGTCATGAATTTGTAATAGATGATCTAATGACACAACCCCAAGACCAAACATGATTACTATTGATACCTACAAAATAACGCAAGTAGAGTAAGAATATAAAACCAATTACAGTCAAGAACCAAGAACAAAAAGAATGTATAAAACAATGAACGTCAAAATGAAAGCAAGCTCAAAATTTAAGGAACCCCATCACTCATGGAACACAACCTAGCCTTGAGATCCTCATAGTGCATCAAAACCACAACTTCCACATACACTTCCACGTCGTCACAGTCGCTGATCTCCATCGAGTGTGACACTGCATTGTCGCAGCGAAGCTTCTCCGCGAAGAACCGACTCTTAGGTTGTCTCGCCCAACCACTGTGAGCCGGATGTCGCCTCCCTCAAGCAAAGCGGAATCCCAGAGGATCTTGGAGAGCCAATCTTGCGCCTTGTGGCTTTTATCGTCGGAGAATTTGTACTCCTCCGACATCATGTTAAAGAGGGTTTGCGTGTGCAGGTGAGTCTGAGGTTGAGTTTGACTGGCGCAAGTGGAGGATGGTGGTGGTGAGAAGGTTGTGGAAGGGGAGAATAAAAGGGTTGGATAAGGTATGAAGCCTTGCTTTATCATCACTAATACTTCCCCTCAAGAGTGGTTACTGTTTTACATTTCTGAATTTTAACTATTGAAGAGGTTATTACCTCAGTTAAGTAGAAAACAGAGGCAATAAGACCCTTCTACCTCGGTTCTAAAGACAACTGATGCGTAAACCTTTTAGAAAAAAATCAAAATAAAATTATAAATGGCAAAATTTGAAAATATTTCTAACTATAGGCATCGGTTCGCAGTTAAACTGAGGCACAAAGGGCTTATGACATCGGTTCGAATGGAATCGAGGTAGTAGAGATTGACAAAATGGATTTGAAACATTTAGATACAAAGGTTCTCGGCTTTTGGCAGGACATACTGCCTCGGTTCTTCATAGAACAGAGACAATAGGCCTGTTTTGAAAAAGCTGTCAGATGAAAAGTCTGATTTGTAGAGCGAAAACAAGGTTTTTTGCCCCAATTGATGGGAGAACAAAGGCAGTATACTCGTAAGGCATCAGTTCCAATTGAATTAAGACATATAATTTCGCAAAAATTACGAAATTGTCGTCATGTTTTGATATGCTTCAGTTTTTTTGAAACCGAAACGTAATGTGTGAGTTAAAAAACTGTTTGTTTACTAGTGTTAATTAAATAAGTCTAGCAATAAACACTAAAGTATGTTTATACACTGATAAGACAAGTATGACAATATATATTGCACAAGTTTGTTTCTCCATATGCAAATTATACAAAACTATTAATACACATTAAACGAGTTTGTCTATTCACTGGTTAAACAAGTCTTATAATATAAATAAATGAGTTTGTAGATACATTGATTGAACGACTGTGTCCATACACTAATTAAACGATTCTAGCAACAAACAATAAAACAAGTATGTTTATACATTGATTAGACAAGTCTAACAGTATACATTAGACAAATTTGTCTTTATACAAATTAGGCGAGTTTATTAATACACATTAGTTGTCCACTTACTAATAAGACAAATCTTGTAATACACATTACATGAATCTAAGTATACACTTATTAAATGAGTCTAATAATACACATTATATGAGTTTATTTATATACTGATTAAACAAGTTTAATAATATATATTAGGTGAGTTTATTGATGTATTGATTAGACGAGTGTAATAATATACATCAGATTAGTCTTCCCACAACTAATTAGAATAATAAAGTACAAGAAAAAATACACAAGATTATGCAAACAATAATTAGAAAAGTAGAACAATAAATATTATGCAAGTCATTTCATACATTAATTAGACGAGTATAACAAAAATTATTAGACAAGTTTGAAAATATACTCAGTAAATGAACAAAGTAAAAAAAAATTAGACGAGAATGCCATTGATTAAATGAGTTTAACAATACACATTAGACAAATCATTCATATATTCATTAGACAACTCTAACAATATATACAATAGACAAGTCTTTCAGCATATAAATTAGACGAATCTACTAATAAACATTATACAAGTATGTTCGTTTACTACTTAGATGAATCTTGCAATACACAGTATACGAGTTTATTCATACATTGATTAGATGAGTAAAGCAAAAAGCATTACACAGGTCCAACAATACACATTAGACGAGTTTGTCCATATACTTATTAGATGAGTATAATAAAATATATTAGATGAATTATTTCATACATTAATTAAATAAGTATAAGAATACACATTAGACAAGTATGTCCATACATTGATCAGACGAGTCTTGTAACACACATTAGACGAGTTTGTACATACATTGATTACACCAATATAACAATATACGTTAGATGAGTCTGTTCATACACATATTAGATTAATCTATTAATAGACATTAGCCGACTCTATCCATTATATAGTTATGAGAGTCTTGTAATATGCGTTACACAAGTTTGTCTATATATTAATTAAATGAGTCTAATAATACATATTAGACAAATGTGTCCATATACTGATTAAACGAGTCTAACAAACACATATTGAACGATTTTGTTAATGCATTGATTAGATGAGTGTAACAATTCTCTTTACATCAGTTTATTCATATATTAATTTATATTTTTAACGAGTCAAATATGTATTCTTTATAGAAATTACTTTATTTTACATGTTTTATCCTTTATAGTTTTATAAAGTCTACTATTTCTAGTTTTATAAATATATTCACTTTTCTAAACTTATAAATTAATTTTAAAATTAATTTTATTCAAAATTTAATTATAAACTTAAAAATATTTATTATTATTTTTTATTTTTAATTCTCTTTTAATAAACACAGAACATCAAGTGGATAGACGATTTTTAAAGGAGTTTTATGATAGAATATTTCAAATTCTCTCAAATAAATACCATCTAAAACTTCTTCATCCATATATTTAAAATTTTTACTTTCATGAAAAGGATTCATTCACGAACTATTATATATGTCCGCATTTAATATATTAAAAATATATTTTGTTGTACTTTATATTACTCTTAAATATTATCCACAATAAACTATTTTATTACAAAAAAAGTTAGTACAATATTAAAATACTCTTAACTAAATACAATCCAGAGATAACATTGTTAATGGACAGTAACAATTAAAAATAAACACGGTTGATTTTAACTTAGAAAAGTCTTCTATCAATATCAATGAAAAAATATTACTTACATAAATTGAGTCTAAGAAAAGAATTTATGAACAACAAAAATAAATATATAAAAAAAGATAAATTATGGACATTTCAATTTTTTTTGACAAAATTTAGATATATTTATTTAAGTGGTCAAAATAATCCGTAAATTTATTGAACTTCAATTCCTAAATTATCTATTCAAATTATATATTTTATGGTAAAATATTCTAAATTCTCTTTAAAAAATTAATACTATTTAAAAAATATAAAAAATTTACTTAATAAGAAGGATTAATTGAGGTGCTGATTTATTAATATTAAACATATATATTCTATGTACACCTAGAATAAATTATTTTATTATTAAGAGAAAAAAATTGGCTTGCACTATTAAAATGATTATTTTACACTTGAAACAAAAGAAAGAAAAGGAAAAACTCAAAAGCAAGCATGCATTGTTCATTATTACATGCATGCATGCGATCTGGATTTTCTCTTCATTCTCACCAAGGTACGTGATGGCCACGTTCTGATTTGAATTCTCCTTTTTCTGAATTCCAATCTCACGCCATTTTCATCTTCGACTCATCACTCAGTTCTCCATCTCCATCACCAATTTCTCCCAAACAAACACCATTCTCGCCATTCTGAATTCCGATTCATCAAATTAACCTCTCCATTTGCATTTGAGATATTTGATCCACGCACCAACGCCAATCTCGAATGTGTAAATCCGAAATTGTAAAATCTTCAAACTCGATGATCGTTTTCCGTGGGAGATAGATCTTGGAGTTCGAATAGAGCAGAAATTAGGATTTCGCATTCGCTAGGAGATAGATCTCGGAGTTTGAATAAGTAACGCTATGTTTTCCCTCGCGATTACAACATCGGTGATGGCGTCGTCGGGGCCAGAGTGGAAACTCGCGCGTTGGTGAAAGAACTCTCTACTCCGATGGGCAACAACTGCGTGGGACCGAACGTCGGTAACGGCTTCCTCCAGTCCGTTTCGGCGGCGGTGTGGAAGACGCGCCCGCCGGAGTCCCGCCTTCCGCCTCCTTCCGCCGAGACCAAAACCTCGACTCCGGTACCGGACGCCCAGAAAGCCTCGGAACCCGCCCCTTCAAAACCAGCGGATCCTCCGAGCCGAGTGCAGAACACGCCGCCCGAGCCGGTCAAAATGCCCCAGCCGCTGGACCACGAGAAGCCGGCGTCGAGCCACACCGAGTCGAATCCCGGCGACAAGGCTAAGAAACCCACGCACGTGAAACGGGTGTCCAGTATGGGATTACAAGTCGAGTCCGTGCTGGGTCGAAAAACAGAGAACATGAAGGAGTTCTTCAGCTTGGGGAGGAAGCTGGGGCAGGGGCAATTCGGGACGACGTTTCTGTGCGTGCAAAAGGGGACGAACAAGGACTTCGCGTGCAAGTCCATCGCGAAGCGGAAGTTGACGACGCAAGAGGATGTGGAGGATGTGAGGAGGGAGATTCAGATCATGCACCACTTGGCGGGGCACCCCAACGTGGTTCAGATCGTTGGGGCATACGAGGACGCCGTTGCGGTGCACCTCGTGATGGAGCTCTGCGCTGGAGGAGAGCTCTTTGACAGGATCATACAGAGGGGGCATTACACCGAGAAGAAGGCCGCAGAACTTGCTAGGTTGATTGTTAGTGTGGTGGAGGCTTGTCACTCTCTTGGGGTCATGCACAGGGATTTGAAGCCCGAGAATTTTTTGTTCATGAATCAGCAGGAAGAGTCTCCCCTTAAGACCATTGATTTTGGACTCTCCGTGTTCTTTAGACCAGGTATTCCCCCTTTTCTAAGTGGATCCTTGGTGTTAAGAATCAAAGTTTTAGAGACAAAATTTACATCTAGGAAGTATTTTTGTTTTATTAAAGTTAGTTTCATGTTGGTATAATGAAGGTCTAACTTAAATGTTACATAGATGAAAATAATTATGATTTGTTAGACCCTCTTTTACATGCTCAGTCAAATTTTCTAGTAGATATTAGTAACAGATATATCTAGTGGATTATTCGCATCAGATCATGATGATTTACAAAGGTTATTGAAACTCCAAACTTTATCAGAGATTAATACTAAAATTATCTAAGTTTTGTCCTTAAATGTAAATAGTTGACTAAATTCCGTAACAACTTATTACGTAATAGCTTCAGTTTAGTTTGGATAAATTCCTCAATAACTAGTTATTAAAAAAAATAAGTAAAATATATTAAACTTTTGGTATGAGCTAAGATCAACTTATGAAATTCGGCTTTGAAGAGAAGTACAATAATCCTAAAGCATTTAAAAAAGTTGAAAGTATGTAAGTTAATTTTTCTGGGTAGTTATGTTAATGATATGCAGTATCAACTGGTTTTGAAAATGAGTAATCCCTAAGGGAGAACTCGACTCACCATTTTTAGGAGAGTCTCCCTGCTCAACTATGTTTATTCTATCAAAATATTAAGACTCGAAACCTTAATAGGAGGTCGAATCCATTATCACTTATACCAACAATAGTCGGTATGCAAGTTCATTTTAATTTATGAAGAAATCTTGATTTATTTATCTTTTTATTTTTTTTTCTTCTGTGAATACTTATTTATTGAGAAATTCATTTAAGCTGACCTTATTCACAAGCTTAGTTAAGTAAGAAAAACTTTTTACTATGTCATAAGTTTAAATAAGCTCTGTAGAAGCTATTAGCAACGCCATCTTAATAGTATTGAAGTTTATTATGATCATGAAGTGCTGGGAGAGACATCTAGCGATCTATTAATTGTACTTGCTCAAATATGTACTGTGCTACCCGAATAAAGGAATTTGAAACGATAGAAAACAAACGGCTTTGATCTAAGAGAATTATCCATGTGATTGGATTGAGATACATGTTTCTAGTGTCATAAATGAGCAAATTTATCAGTTACTTTTGTGCATTGTTTTTGTTTAGGATGGTATGTGGTTTCCGGTTCTGTTTGCTATTGAATCTGGAAATCGATTATTTTCTTTTTGCACAGGTAATTATGTTAATTTGGAATTTCGAACACGTTTGCTTTCTCCTCTTTCTTGTCTACTACTAATATAGAGTAAAGACATGGTTCTTTTTTCTCTCCTCTTCCGTGTGGGCATTTGTTTTCATGAACATTTTCCTCTTGATACTTTAACACTGCCAATTCAAGCCTTTTGATGTTTTGACTCTCACGTTTTTTCTACACTTTATTCGTAGTTACATTGACTTTTATTTCCAAAATTAATGCTTTAGATAAAGTAATTATTCTTCTGAACTACTGCTAAGTCTATTAGTAATTTTCTTTAGCTTATGTCAGGACATTACTATGGCTACTTTATGTTAATTAAAGGGAAGAGAATCTGTTTGTCTTCCCTTAGACTGATTGAGACTCGAGGAGGAAAGCCAATTTGAAATTTGCTAGTTTAGATATACAGAGGGAAGACTGATCTGCTAATGCATAGATGTGTATTTTACAAAATCAACTCAACAGGTTGTTTACTAAGAAGTTAAAGAATCATACACGCGAGCAGCAATAAAAATGAGTTATACAAGCAAAAACGAAAGAATATGTTTAACAGTTGTGCACGTCGGGTAATAGGGTCTATATTTATAGAATTCTTTAGTGGAGAAAGATGGTGGATGATTTGCTGACCATGTTAGCTAAATACTGAATTAGTGTGCGAGTGTACTGCAGGGGTTTGTATGGTGGGTGCATTTTAGATGTTTAAGTCATCTCATGCATGTAGGACATCCTGTTATAGTGCTACCTCATCAAAGATGTGTTCTCTTAACTTACTAGGAGGGACTCCATTTCGTTTAACTATGCCTCTCTTTTTCTTCCGCCTTTTATTTGGGATTTGGCCTTTCCAAATTCAGATTAAGAAAATGTTCATAACTTCAGGTGAAACATTCACTGATGTGGTTGGGAGCCCGTACTATGTGGCCCCTGAAGTTTTGCGGAAGAACTATGGTCCAGAATGTGATGTTTGGAGTGCTGGGGTGATCATCTATATTTTACTCAGTGGAGTTCCCCCATTTTGGGATGGTGAGAATGCTATACCGTTTAATTTTATCATGCTATACTTGCTCATAAATGCCTGATATGTTTGGTATATGGATCAGAAACGGAACAGGGAATATTTGAGCAAGTTTTGAAAGGAGAGCTTGACTTTGTTTCTGAACCCTGGCCAAGCATATCTGAAAGCGCAAAGGATCTTGTTCGAAGGATGCTTGTAAGGGACCCTAAAAAGCGGCTGACAGCACATGAAGTTCTTTGTGAGTATGCATGTCTCGTTGATGCTACTGGGCTTGATTTATTTTGGAAAAGTTTTCTCACCCTTTTGTTCTTAGAGATCAATTTCAAATAATTTTATAGATTGTCTAGTTCTTAGGATTTTCTTTTTTAACAATTTTCATTCATGTAGACAGACTATATGATCAAGAACTACTTACTATAAACTAGCAGCTATTATGATGATAAACTGTCTCCTTTCCTATAATAAAACAAAAAAGCTTGACCTGTCCGCTTTTCCCTCCCCTCCCTTTTCGGAATGAGAAGTATTGACATGAATTTCAAATTGCTCCTACCGAATAGACATTACCACAATATTCAGAAATTAAACCAAAATTTTGAAATTTGCCTTGTCAGTGGAGATTTTCTGATTTTGATTTTTCAGATGAAATAGTACCCTACTTCACATATGGTGCTTTCTGTTGGAATGCCTCTGTTTTATTTCTCACACTAATACATGGAAACTCTGTACTGCATAAATATAATTTTGAAATTAGAAATATATTAAAGATATTTATGATTGAATCACTACATTTTCTTCTCTCAAAAATTATATTAAAACTGCTTGACAATATTATTATAATAAAATAAATACGAGTAAACAATATAACTTTCAAACTTTGTGTTGTGAAAAATTTATGGAAATAACCACTATATCAAGTATATTAGGAAAGGAAAAAGTTTTCAAGACGTATAATTTTATGCTGAGGCACTGATAATGGTTTCTCGAAGTGACACAAAATGAAGCATCGTGATCTATTTATTCAATTCAATTTCTGGACACAATAATCATTCATCTGATTATTTTCAATACGAATCGTAATTTATTCTGTTTCAAAATTGATGCATATTCATTATCATTTGTAAATATACAAATACACAAGCTAAGGTTGATGATATGCAGGCCATCCATGGGTGCAAGTCGGAGGCGTTGCTCCTGATAAGCCACTTGACTCTGCTGTCTTGAGTCGTTTGAAGCAGTTCTCTGCAATGAATAAGCTAAAAAAAATAGCCATTCGAGTGAGTATCCACTATTTATTTGAGAATAGAAATACATTGCAGGTGCTCGAGAACTAGCTTATTTTATTAATTTTCCATATAACGTTATCATTCACTATATATATTGCTAATAATAGTCTAGCTGATTAAGCCTCGGGCATTTGAATAATGTCGATAATATTGAACATTTTGCCAGTTGTAGATAATTGCTCCATTCAAGCAGTTGTTTGACTTGCTGTATTATCCCTTGTCAGGTAATTGCTGAAAGTTTGTCGGAGGAAGAAATTGCAGGACTGAAAGAAATGTTCAGGATGATAGACACAGATAATAGCGGACAGATCACTCTTGAGGAACTGAAAAATGGTTTGGAGAGAGTGGGTTCTGTTCTTAAGGATNACAAAAAAAGTTAGTACAATATTAAAATACTCTTAACTAAATACAATCCAGAGATAACATTGTTAATGGACAGTAACAATTAAAAATAAACACGGTTGATTTTAACTTAGAAAAGTCTTCTATCAATATCAATGAAAAAATATTACTTACATAAATTGAGTCTAAGAAAAGAATTTATGAACAACAAAAATAAATATATAAAAAAAGATAAATTATGGACATTTCAATTTTTTTTGACAAAATTTAGATATATTTATTTAAGTGGTCAAAATAATCCGTAAATTTATTGAACTTCAATTCCTAAATTATCTATTCAAATTATATATTTTATGGTAAAATATTCTAAATTCTCTTTAAAAAATTAATACTATTTAAAAAATATAAAAAATTTACTTAATAAGAAGGATTAATTGAGGTGCTGATTTATTAATATTAAACATATATATTCTATGTACACCTAGAATAAATTATTTTATTATTAAGAGAAAAAAATTGGCTTGCACTATTAAAATGATTATTTTACACTTGAAACAAAAGAAAGAAAAGGAAAAACTCAAAAGCAAGCATGCATTGTTCATTATTACATGCATGCATGCGATCTGGATTTTCTCTTCATTCTCACCAAGGTACGTGATGGCCACGTTCTGATTTGAATTCTCCTTTTTCTGAATTCCAATCTCACGCCATTTTCATCTTCGACTCATCACTCAGTTCTCCATCTCCATCACCAATTTCTCCCAAACAAACACCATTCTCGCCATTCTGAATTCCGATTCATCAAATTAACCTCTCCATTTGCATTTGAGATATTTGATCCACGCACCAACGCCAATCTCGAATGTGTAAATCCGAAATTGTAAAATCTTCAAACTCGATGATCGTTTTCCGTGGGAGATAGATCTTGGAGTTCGAATAGAGCAGAAATTAGGATTTCGCATTCGCTAGGAGATAGATCTCGGAGTTTGAATAAGTAACGCTATGTTTTCCCTCGCGATTACAACATCGGTGATGGCGTCGTCGGGGCCAGAGTGGAAACTCGCGCGTTGGTGAAAGAACTCTCTACTCCGATGGGCAACAACTGCGTGGGACCGAACGTCGGTAACGGCTTCCTCCAGTCCGTTTCGGCGGCGGTGTGGAAGACGCGCCCGCCGGAGTCCCGCCTTCCGCCTCCTTCCGCCGAGACCAAAACCTCGACTCCGGTACCGGACGCCCAGAAAGCCTCGGAACCCGCCCCTTCAAAACCAGCGGATCCTCCGAGCCGAGTGCAGAACACGCCGCCCGAGCCGGTCAAAATGCCCCAGCCGCTGGACCACGAGAAGCCGGCGTCGAGCCACACCGAGTCGAATCCCGGCGACAAGGCTAAGAAACCCACGCACGTGAAACGGGTGTCCAGTATGGGATTACAAGTCGAGTCCGTGCTGGGTCGAAAAACAGAGAACATGAAGGAGTTCTTCAGCTTGGGGAGGAAGCTGGGGCAGGGGCAATTCGGGACGACGTTTCTGTGCGTGCAAAAGGGGACGAACAAGGACTTCGCGTGCAAGTCCATCGCGAAGCGGAAGTTGACGACGCAAGAGGATGTGGAGGATGTGAGGAGGGAGATTCAGATCATGCACCACTTGGCGGGGCACCCCAACGTGGTTCAGATCGTTGGGGCATACGAGGACGCCGTTGCGGTGCACCTCGTGATGGAGCTCTGCGCTGGAGGAGAGCTCTTTGACAGGATCATACAGAGGGGGCATTACACCGAGAAGAAGGCCGCAGAACTTGCTAGGTTGATTGTTAGTGTGGTGGAGGCTTGTCACTCTCTTGGGGTCATGCACAGGGATTTGAAGCCCGAGAATTTTTTGTTCATGAATCAGCAGGAAGAGTCTCCCCTTAAGACCATTGATTTTGGACTCTCCGTGTTCTTTAGACCAGGTATTCCCCCTTTTCTAAGTGGATCCTTGGTGTTAAGAATCAAAGTTTTAGAGACAAAATTTACATCTAGGAAGTATTTTTGTTTTATTAAAGTTAGTTTCATGTTGGTATAATGAAGGTCTAACTTAAATGTTACATAGATGAAAATAATTATGATTTGTTAGACCCTCTTTTACATGCTCAGTCAAATTTTCTAGTAGATATTAGTAACAGATATATCTAGTGGATTATTCGCATCAGATCATGATGATTTACAAAGGTTATTGAAACTCCAAACTTTATCAGAGATTAATACTAAAATTATCTAAGTTTTGTCCTTAAATGTAAATAGTTGACTAAATTCCGTAACAACTTATTACGTAATAGCTTCAGTTTAGTTTGGATAAATTCCTCAATAACTAGTTATTAAAAAAAATAAGTAAAATATATTAAACTTTTGGTATGAGCTAAGATCAACTTATGAAATTCGGCTTTGAAGAGAAGTACAATAATCCTAAAGCATTTAAAAAAGTTGAAAGTATGTAAGTTAATTTTTCTGGGTAGTTATGTTAATGATATGCAGTATCAACTGGTTTTGAAAATGAGTAATCCCTAAGGGAGAACTCGACTCACCATTTTTAGGAGAGTCTCCCTGCTCAACTATGTTTATTCTATCAAAATATTAAGACTCGAAACCTTAATAGGAGGTCGAATCCATTATCACTTATACCAACAATAGTCGGTATGCAAGTTCATTTTAATTTATGAAGAAATCTTGATTTATTTATCTTTTTATTTTTTTTTCTTCTGTGAATACTTATTTATTGAGAAATTCATTTAAGCTGACCTTATTCACAAGCTTAGTTAAGTAAGAAAAACTTTTTACTATGTCATAAGTTTAAATAAGCTCTGTAGAAGCTATTAGCAACGCCATCTTAATAGTATTGAAGTTTATTATGATCATGAAGTGCTGGGAGAGACATCTAGCGATCTATTAATTGTACTTGCTCAAATATGTACTGTGCTACCCGAATAAAGGAATTTGAAACGATAGAAAACAAACGGCTTTGATCTAAGAGAATTATCCATGTGATTGGATTGAGATACATGTTTCTAGTGTCATAAATGAGCAAATTTATCAGTTACTTTTGTGCATTGTTTTTGTTTAGGATGGTATGTGGTTTCCGGTTCTGTTTGCTATTGAATCTGGAAATCGATTATTTTCTTTTTGCACAGGTAATTATGTTAATTTGGAATTTCGAACACGTTTGCTTTCTCCTCTTTCTTGTCTACTACTAATATAGAGTAAAGACATGGTTCTTTTTTCTCTCCTCTTCCGTGTGGGCATTTGTTTTCATGAACATTTTCCTCTTGATACTTTAACACTGCCAATTCAAGCCTTTTGATGTTTTGACTCTCACGTTTTTTCTACACTTTATTCGTAGTTACATTGACTTTTATTTCCAAAATTAATGCTTTAGATAAAGTAATTATTCTTCTGAACTACTGCTAAGTCTATTAGTAATTTTCTTTAGCTTATGTCAGGACATTACTATGGCTACTTTATGTTAATTAAAGGGAAGAGAATCTGTTTGTCTTCCCTTAGACTGATTGAGACTCGAGGAGGAAAGCCAATTTGAAATTTGCTAGTTTAGATATACAGAGGGAAGACTGATCTGCTAATGCATAGATGTGTATTTTACAAAATCAACTCAACAGGTTGTTTACTAAGAAGTTAAAGAATCATACACGCGAGCAGCAATAAAAATGAGTTATACAAGCAAAAACGAAAGAATATGTTTAACAGTTGTGCACGTCGGGTAATAGGGTCTATATTTATAGAATTCTTTAGTGGAGAAAGATGGTGGATGATTTGCTGACCATGTTAGCTAAATACTGAATTAGTGTGCGAGTGTACTGCAGGGGTTTGTATGGTGGGTGCATTTTAGATGTTTAAGTCATCTCATGCATGTAGGACATCCTGTTATAGTGCTACCTCATCAAAGATGTGTTCTCTTAACTTACTAGGAGGGACTCCATTTCGTTTAACTATGCCTCTCTTTTTCTTCCGCCTTTTATTTGGGATTTGGCCTTTCCAAATTCAGATTAAGAAAATGTTCATAACTTCAGGTGAAACATTCACTGATGTGGTTGGGAGCCCGTACTATGTGGCCCCTGAAGTTTTGCGGAAGAACTATGGTCCAGAATGTGATGTTTGGAGTGCTGGGGTGATCATCTATATTTTACTCAGTGGAGTTCCCCCATTTTGGGATGGTGAGAATGCTATACCGTTTAATTTTATCATGCTATACTTGCTCATAAATGCCTGATATGTTTGGTATATGGATCAGAAACGGAACAGGGAATATTTGAGCAAGTTTTGAAAGGAGAGCTTGACTTTGTTTCTGAACCCTGGCCAAGCATATCTGAAAGCGCAAAGGATCTTGTTCGAAGGATGCTTGTAAGGGACCCTAAAAAGCGGCTGACAGCACATGAAGTTCTTTGTGAGTATGCATGTCTCGTTGATGCTACTGGGCTTGATTTATTTTGGAAAAGTTTTCTCACCCTTTTGTTCTTAGAGATCAATTTCAAATAATTTTATAGATTGTCTAGTTCTTAGGATTTTCTTTTTTAACAATTTTCATTCATGTAGACAGACTATATGATCAAGAACTACTTACTATAAACTAGCAGCTATTATGATGATAAACTGTCTCCTTTCCTATAATAAAACAAAAAAGCTTGACCTGTCCGCTTTTCCCTCCCCTCCCTTTTCGGAATGAGAAGTATTGACATGAATTTCAAATTGCTCCTACCGAATAGACATTACCACAATATTCAGAAATTAAACCAAAATTTTGAAATTTGCCTTGTCAGTGGAGATTTTCTGATTTTGATTTTTCAGATGAAATAGTACCCTACTTCACATATGGTGCTTTCTGTTGGAATGCCTCTGTTTTATTTCTCACACTAATACATGGAAACTCTGTACTGCATAAATATAATTTTGAAATTAGAAATATATTAAAGATATTTATGATTGAATCACTACATTTTCTTCTCTCAAAAATTATATTAAAACTGCTTGACAATATTATTATAATAAAATAAATACGAGTAAACAATATAACTTTCAAACTTTGTGTTGTGAAAAATTTATGGAAATAACCACTATATCAAGTATATTAGGAAAGGAAAAAGTTTTCAAGACGTATAATTTTATGCTGAGGCACTGATAATGGTTTCTCGAAGTGACACAAAATGAAGCATCGTGATCTATTTATTCAATTCAATTTCTGGACACAATAATCATTCATCTGATTATTTTCAATACGAATCGTAATTTATTCTGTTTCAAAATTGATGCATATTCATTATCATTTGTAAATATACAAATACACAAGCTAAGGTTGATGATATGCAGGCCATCCATGGGTGCAAGTCGGAGGCGTTGCTCCTGATAAGCCACTTGACTCTGCTGTCTTGAGTCGTTTGAAGCAGTTCTCTGCAATGAATAAGCTAAAAAAAATAGCCATTCGAGTGAGTATCCACTATTTATTTGAGAATAGAAATACATTGCAGGTGGTCGAGAACTAGCTTATTTTATTAATTTTCCTTATAACGTTATCATTCACTATATATATTGACAAAAATAGTCTAGCTGATTAAGCCTCGGACATTTGAATTTGAATAATGTCGATAATATTGAACATTTTGCCAGTTGAAGATAATTGCTCCATTCAAGCAGTGGTTTGACTTGCTGTATTATCCCTTATCAGGTAATTGCTGAAAGTTTTTCTGAGGAAGAAATTGCAGGACTGAAAGAAATGTTCAGGATGATAGACACAGATAATAGCGGACAGATCACTCTTGAGGAACTGAAAAATGGTTTGGAGAGAGTGGGTTCTGTTCTTAAGGATTCTGAAATTGCTTGGTTAATGCAAGCGGTAAGTGCTTGCCTGCAATCCAAATTGGCCGCTCAATGTGCTACTGTTTCGTGTACTAAAGGACCTGTGACTGGTTGTAGTTTGATTCGTTTGAATACAATTGGACTATTCATGAACTAATGCGCTCGATTCAATGATTGATTTAATTAAGTAATTCATCAAATCAATCTTTTTGCTTTCTTATTTATATAATGCAGGCAGACGTTGATAACAGTGGTACCATAGACTACGGTGAATTCATAGCAGCTATGGTACACCTAAACAAGATCCAGAAGGAAGATCATCTATATGCAGCATTCACATACTTTGACAAAGATGGGAGTGGATACATTACACCGGATGAGCTCCAACAAGCCTGCGAACAGTTTGGCTTGCAGGATTATCACCTGGATGAGATAATACGTGAAATTGACCAGGATAATGTAATATATTGCATTCCAGTGGTTTAGTTTTTTGTTTTCTTTATTTGACTTGTATTCTGCACTGTTTTCAGGATGGACGCATTGATTACAGTGAGTTTGTTGCCATGATGCAAGACACTGGATTTGGCAAAAAGGGATTTTAGACATCATGAGTAAAACTATGGACCCCTTCAAGCATTTTGTGATCTATTGATCTTGCAACATGAGAACTTGATAAACAATCTCACTCTCACAGCTAGCATAATCTCTTGCAGACGCCAGGTTATGTAAGTACATGCATGCACTTAGAAAAAATGTTTGAGCTTCAAGGAGAGGAAGCTTGAATGGCATGATAAGCAGTGTTTATGTATTTACAAATCATTTTTTTGCTGAACATATAACCTAAAGCAACAGATCACAGTTTTTCCCGTTGAATCTGTAACCCTTTTGTGGGGGTAAATGGATGGTAGAACGATTTTTCAGCATGTGATCTAATGATGTTAGAATGCCGGTTCGCACTCTACATCAAATTGGTGACAAATTTCCGAAAGCAATGTTGAAGGGCATGCATTTACGAGAGATATGAATGTTCTTCCAGCTGTGAAGCTCTTGAGTCTTTAAAGCCATGCCATCTTTCAGTCACTCTCAAACCATGTTGTATCAACTCATGTACCCTGTTTGCATTCGTGTATAGAGAGCCAACTTATCTGTACCTTTGGTTTAAGGATGCTTCACTTTAAGTGTATACACAATCAGTAAATTTTTGTTCTTCTGTAACTTCCTATTTTTGCCCAATGATACAAGTGGATGAGTTTGATGAGAATCAAGAGATGAATTTGGAGCACAACAAAAGCTGTACACCACCCTTTCCTTTCTTTCATTTGGTTTAGCTTTTAACTTTTAACTTTTAACTTTTAACTTTTAACTTTTATGTCCTTAGTGTGCTGGATCATCCAATTAACTCACTTGGCTGAAGCAGGTTTCCCTCCACAATAGATTCAATATAGATTCAATATTTCAACATCATAACATTGAGCAAAAGGAAATACACGAGAATACAATATTATTTTAGACTAACTACTTTCTTAATTACTTGGTCTTTTAGCTGAACAAGCTTCAAATTTCTGGTTGGAAAATGACACTTGAACAACCATTTTTGACAACATTTAGACACGCGCACACGTGTCAAAATCTGAGTGGTCCATTTTCATTTAATTTTTCCAACTGGACCACTCAGATTTTGACACGTGTGCGCGTGTCTAAATGTTGTCAAAAATGGTTGTTCAAGTATCATTTTTCTTTTTGGTTCTATGTTTTAACATTTATAAATTTAGTCCTTTCGTACGTTATTCTAATTACTTTAATTTAGTTCTCATCTGAATTTAAATGCTAGGAAATAGATGAGATTTAAAATGATATGTACGATTACAAATAATTAAAAATGAGATTTTTAAGAATTAAAATAAATAATTTTGAACTACAAGGCCTAAATGTGTAATATCATTTTTTTAGTCAAGTTCGTGTCTTTCTTAATATCGATTAACCTAAGAGAAATTGATTATTACAGTGCCTGAAATTAAATATCTAGAATAAGTTTTCTTGTTTGAATCTTGCAGATGAAAAATATATATTCTTGAATGGCATGAAAATAGAATAGTATTTTATGTGAAGTATTTTTTTTTAAACAGTTCAACAATGTTTAAGATAGTAAAGAAAATTATAGTCTCTCCCTATAAATGGAAAAAAGTTCAACAAAAATCTATTTTAGTATTTCTAAAAGAAAAAGAGTGGAAAGTAAGAAGAGATAGTAAAGAAAATTATAGTGTCAAAATAACATCATCTCACTAAAAATATGTTGGTATGAAGTGGCAGGACAAATTGGTACTAAAAAACACCTATTTGATTATAATTAACAGTATAAAATTAATTCCTCATATAATAATTAGAGGTGAGTAAATGGTAGGTCTAAAATGTTTAAGATATGTTTTACAATTTTTTGTTGTTATAAGTAGATTGAATAAGTTAGTTGATTAG